TAAAAGTTTGTTGTCATTTGGAAGTGTGTAGGCCTTCTTGCATTATTATGCTGTTACATTATGATTATATATTCAGTGGCATAAAATGGTCTTTAAAATTACAATAATATCACTTATCGCAATTATTTCTGGGGCAATATATCACACAACAAAAAGTTGTTATCGTGACAGGCCTATTTGGAAGTCATTTGTTTTTTTATTTATTTTATTTGTAAATTGTTTTTTTTGTTTTTTTACTTTGAATAAATGAATATATTTATTTGTGTTCATGTCTTCCTCTGACAGCTTTCTCTAGCCAGCCTTTATTAAGCTATGAGTATGCCTAGGCTATGCATTCCCTACCACTCCTGTTACAAGGAAATTAATAATTTTATTATTGTGAATATGTTCTTTTGAATCTATTCTTTAATATGATATACGTTTCAAGGTGGTTTATTCATATTTAAGTAGTCTAATGGCCGTGATCCTGACTAGTTGGTTATTGTCGCTTGCACTGGCCGCTCAAGCAGCTAACCGATTCTCTACCACTGTGTCTGCAAGGAAATATACTATGTTATGATTATTAATATATTCTTATGTCTATTCTTGTAAACATGTACTTGTATCGCAACTAAAGTGCTCAAATGGCCGTCATCCCGACTGGTGGGTTAGCCTACTGCCACTTCAGTGCAGCCAGTGCACTCCATAAAACGTCTATCATTTAAAAGAATAAAGTCATATGAACAGATGTACAATAAAAAAAAATAATAATAATAATAGTATTCCCGGAGCTAGAGTGGAAGGAGAGCAAAACATAAATCTGCCATAAATCAATGGTCCTCCTGACAGTGGACTGCCAGCCGCCAGGCAGCCAACCACTGGCAGGTCACGTGAACTGGTGCTGCCAGCCAGTTAGGGATTGAACCCCTAATGTGAGAAAATGAAACAGTTTCATTAAAACACATTATACATCACAAAGGACATATTTAACAAACGCATAGCTGAGATCTAGCTATGTATCTGCCACAGCATAAATTCATGGACAAAAAGACATCTGGTTCGAAATAAACATTAAAAAGTCCTTTATGTTGTACTGAATGTAAAATACTTCCATTGCATCAATGAAATTCCGCCCATTACTAGACTCACTAGAGAACTAGACTACATTCAGCGAGAAATTTAGCCTATGACGGGGATTTTATAGAGCAACAAATGGGCTAGTTCCGTGATGTATTATCAAGATAAACATGATAACCACACCCAGACCACGTTCCCGAGCCTGTTCATATACTCCCTCCCACCCCAAAAAATGCACCGTTTAGTTATGTAAACAAAGTCCAACTCACCCGAATTCACCATCCTGAAGTCCTTCTTTCAGATTAAGTCATAATTAAGGGTTTGAGATGTTCAAAGATCTTCTCCTCTTACCGTGCTTCTCAGGCTGTCTTCCTCTTTCCCGTTCACCTGCGTGCATGGCCACACCCTGTCCGCTCACGCACCTGTCCTGACCGCCCTGCAGGTGTCGCTGTATACCAGGAAGAAGAGCCTTCAACCTCAAAGGCACAAATACTTACAAATATCAAAATCGTTGCAAAATACAAGTCGGTACAAAACAAAAAGTAAAATAAATAAATGTTAATTTACTTTTATACATTTTAGGAATGAAAAATAATTACCAATAACATTTATTCAAGAAAAAAAAAGCAAAATAAGGTTTAGGGTTTCACATTTATGAATGACAAAATTGGTAATTACTTCTGGAAATGCTGTCTAATTCATTTTTTAAAAATAAACTAGATTTTATTAATTTGTTTTGTTGTGGATGCATAAAAACAAAAAACCCAATCACCTGAATTAATGTCAGCCAGTCTGTTAATCACAGTAATTTGATGAAGTAAACCTGAACACCTGGACTTAATCACCTGACTCTCATTAATGCATTAATCTGTGCAGCCTGAACCTCCTCACAGCCTGAGTTTTTAGGAAGGTCTGCAAGACAAGGAGAGTTGCTGTATACATTTTTCTTCACTGGTTCTCTCTCAGGTTAAAGTTGTAGGATGGGGATGGCGGCGGTTTTTGTCGTTTTCTGTTGCACAATAGTGTCTCTAGCGCTGCCTGTTACAGCTAACGGAGATTATTTTAATGGGCACTTCGCAGCGTACTCGCCAGGAATCATTCATGATGTCTGGCGTGTTCCTGACCTCGCAAAACATTTCCTGAATGAAATTCCTCAGCCTCACAATTTTGATGGATTTGTACCGGTGTTCCCAATGCAATATGCTATTCAGGCCCTACTGGAAAGTTTTTCATTAAGGATCATGAATTGTACGTCATTAAAACACTACTAAATCTATTAGACAAAGTTAGTATCTAATACTTGCTTTTAATGTTTATTTTGCTCTAGCATCTTGGAGCGGTCCAGCAGATACTAATGTGTTCCACAAAGGAGAGCAGTTGTATCTGCAGGTGTCTGCCTCACCTGCACCTGGTCAACAGCTTTATGTCCAGTCCTGCCATGCTTCCTCTTCTCTAAACCATGCAGACAAACCTGAAGTCGCCCTTATCATTAACAAAGGGTAGATCAACTTAACAAACATTATTTTGAATACACTTGCTCCCTGGAATAATTTCACCTTCATTTTTGTTCCAATGCAATATGATATTCAGGCCCTACTGGAAAGTTTTTCATTAAGGATCATGAATTGTACGTCATTAAAACACTACTAAATCTATTAGACAAAGTTAGTATCTAATACTTGCTTTTAATGTTTATTTTGCTCTAGCATCTTGGAGCGGTCCAGCAGATACTAATGTGTTCCACAAAGGAGAGCAGTTGTATCTGCAGGTGTCTGCCTCACCTGCACCTGGTCAACAGCTTTATGTCCAGTCCTGCCATGCTTCCTCTTCTCTAAACCATGCAGACAAACCTGAAGTCGCCCTTATCATTAACAAAGGGTAGATCAACTTAACAAACATTATTTTGAGTACACTTGCTCCCTGGAATAATTTCACCTTCATTTTTATGTTTGCCAGATGTGTGGCCTCCAAAGAGTCCTTGGTGAGGTTTGTGTTGCAACAGCGTGACCGAGTAAATTTGGTTGTTCGTACATCCACCTTCAAGTCTTCTGAGGTGAGTGTTCATTGACCGTTATGATGACTGTGGTCTTACAAACTGACAGAAGTTTGATCTGTAATGCTCTCCTGTTTTCTTTAGAGTTACATTCACTGCAGAGTCTATCTTACTGATTTGGGTCTGACCTCTACCACTAAATTCTGCAACTACAACAAGCTTAAGTCCAGGTAAGTGTTTAAATCTCTTACTCCTTATAAGGTCTTTGTCCTAATAGGCTTTTGGAACTTAAAAAAAAAAATGCTGTTTGTTTTCAGATGGGTTGACCTGGGTGGCCAAACCTCAGTATGTGATTGTTGTGGGAGAAGGTGCAGGAGCT